AAAATAAAGAGAAAATCAAGAATTCTTTTTTTCTGAATCGCTTTGTAAACCAGATATCTGTCATTTTGTATATTTTATAAAAACATTTTTATTTTTGCAATTTTTCTACCGATCTTTATAAAACTTGGTATGTAGGTTAAGGTAGAAAATATCAGTGTTAGAAAAAATGCATCTTGATTCAACTTAAAATTTCAAAATGGTGACCCTTTTAATTTTTTAAACTTAAATTACTCAAAAACGGCTAATTTTATGAAAAAAATTTATGAACACTTCTATTTAGCATCTTGAATTCCCTATCAAACGATACCAAGTTTAAAAAGATCGAATAAGAAATACTTGAAATATTACGATTTTTAGTTGTAAAATGCAGTAGAATAAGGCAGAAGCTAGTCAGGTTTGCCCCTGTTGTCTCTGTATTTTGACCCATAGAACCATTTTCCGGAGTTTGACTTTTTACTTACGGGACACGCTGTATACTCTAACAAAAATCATGTTAAAGTCTTGACTCAATACTTGGATACTACAGTAGTTTATTGGTATTTATTTGCTTAGCTTGATTGAGCGGACCCATCAACGTATTAGAACCATTAATTGCTTTATATCGGGCTAAAAAGTAAACTGTTATAGCTTTACATTGAGCGCTTTATTTGCCTTGTAAATGTTTATTTCAAAAATTATTATAAAATACACTAACATTAAATATTTAGAAAGCAATTATATTATTGTAAGCTCCAAAATTACAATAAGATAGATACAGGAAGAACTAAATACTGCTTACCAAAAAATTATTACCGTATGATGAGACGATCAACAAGACTAAGAAGTGTAAGGAGCAGATTATGAGTAAACAGGCATGTGTACACGCCTCAGGGACCGTTATGTATATGGCGCAGTGAAAATTACTCTCGTTTCAAATATTAAACACTACACACCTGCAGGATACGTAGGATGTATTTTTAGTGTAGCTCTCATGCAAACAAACATACTTCTCCTTAATTCTTTTAACTCTTATGTGTTGTACAGTTACGATTATAAAACCAATCGCAACAGCATCGCAAACTAATAATATAGTCCATCTTATTCAATAGTTGTGGCTAAAGAGATGTAAATCCGGGTGAAACCATCACCTAATCACTAATATGAAGGGATATTATGACTTTTAGGCAAATTCGTATTCTAGATTCACGCGTGTCTTTAATTAGAGATGCTGGATATGTTGTAATAAATAAGTGTAATAAAGAAGAATGCTCCGTTATTTTGTTTACCAATCTTCATCACTCTCATTGTGTTTAGTTTCCTACAAAAATACTAATCCTGCGTTAGAAAAATCATTTATCCATTAGCTATGAAGTATTTAAATGAGTTTTAAAAAATATAACAATGTTTAATGTTCGTTAAAACTCAACTATAAGCTGGTACTCTCAACCAATGGTCACCTGTTTTCAGATTCTAATTATAAGCTGTTTGCCAATAATCATGTTGTTGCATGGCATGGCCAAATGAAGGTAGCTATATGCATCTAAATGTCATTTTATCAGTACTTCATACAAATAAATTTTTTATCATCAATTTTAATTATCTTGGTTAGTGGGAAATTCAGATTAAAGATATATGATTCCTTCCTCATGAGTAAAAGTTGGTGCTTAACATGTAGGCCTAATACATTTAATTTGATCTTAAAGTATTTCCATATTAAATTATTTCTAAGACTATTTGATAAGTGGTAATATTTTCAAGGATACGATGAATTTAATTGAAACATTAACAAATTAATTTTCAAAATAAAGTTAGAAAAGTTTGTATAAATTGTAAAGCTGCAAGCTGATCGTGACACAACAAATCGCCAACTTAGAAGTAAATCTCGTAAAATAAATTTAGTTGTAAAACCAAACGTTTCAATTTATACTGTGTATATTGTGGTCTAAAAATATTAATCCAACATGATGACTTATTGTAGCAAAAGTACCTAATGCAATATTTATCCAGAATTATTAAGTCATGTACACTAATAGCTAATGTACAAGAATGCTAATAGTGATTGAAAAGTTGAACAAAAATCTTTAGTAAATTTAAATCTAGTTTAGTAAAGAGATCAAGTAATAAATAACCAAACAAATAGTTACCGATGAATGTTTTTTTTACTACAGCAATTCTGTTCGTCATTTCTATTACCAAATAATGGATTTTATATTGAGACTCATTTAGTCCATTTAGAGTTTTCATTATCGGATTAAATATGATTAACGATTGGAATGAATTTCCTCACTGATTGTGAAATGCTTTAAGGTAATTGTATTTTTCAATTCCTGTTTAAAAAACAATTTTCGTAAATAGCGTTGTATAATAGTATAATTTAAAGCAATAAACATAGTTTTATCTAAAAACAATATATAATTTGTAAACTGGGATAAACTATGGACTATGAGTGAACCATGCAACACACGAAAACACAAATTATTGATTATAGAATCGTATGATATGCTTGTATAGGGTTTAGCCTAAAATATAAGGTTACGTCAATAATCGAAGTATGTTAGGTTATAAGGGAAATCATGTACGCGTAGCATTGGAGTAAAACATAGAAAATATGACGTTAAAACAAAAACCTTTACTATTTCGATGTTCTTACAATATTCTCAAACGTTAAATTAATTTTAATCAAATAAGTAAAACCAATTACTTGAAAACTATCTAAAGATTGCATCAAACTACTTAATTTCGGATTTAGGGTGAAATCAGAGTGAGATACCTAATACCTAACTGAGATGTGAATACGGTTTTGGTAGAACAAAAGTTAAACCTTGAGACAAATAATTAAGCGTGGTAAGAAAAATCACAATCTTTAAGGCTACACTTCTTCTGAAACACCAATCAAGCATGGTATATAGACTTATTGCCTGAGATCACTCTCCAATTATCAGCTGATTGCCAATTATCGTCAGAAAACTCACGATTGGTTGTGAGGAACCAGGTGGGTGTTAGAGAAAGACCAGAGGGATAATCTGCAAAACCTGCTAACTTGTTGTTTTACTTCAATCATTTAACTTGCCACCAAACCGTATTGAAATATTCAATTATAACAATGAACTATTGTGAAACAATCCATCCCTAAACGCTATTTTACATGTTAAACATTGTAAATAATTGACATATTTAAATTCTGCCAGTTAATTATATTAGTCCTGCTAAAATGCATTAGTGATAAAATCATAAATCAATGAATAAGCGCATCAAAGAGTTTCCAAAGTGCATTTAACGTGATAAAACTGAAACATATCTGCTAATGAAATTGCAGTATTCACTTGATTAAATTTTCAACAATTTGCCTTTGAAAGGAGTCAAATCAAAGACAGCATTAATTAAATACAGCTCTTTTGATGAACAGAAAATGCATATTCGAGCACAGTGTTAAATTATTCTGTCGTGTTTCAAAACCCGTTTATGATTTTTTATGAGCTTCAAGGATAAACGTTCTGCCGCAAACCATGTCGTTTTCTATGGATGATATTACTTGGGTAATACAACGGTACATATTAGATTACAGTAACAAAAAAAAATACCTTAGTCCACAAACGATAAATAATTGGTTGTTGTGTTCTTAAGAGACCCAAAATAAAAGTAGGAGGCTTAAAATAACTAGTCTGAACTAAGATTTGTAGCTGTAACCTTTTTTTCTAGAGAAAATACAAGTTATTAGTTTGGAAGAGAAGTGCATGACATCATCACGTTTGTGTTCATTTAAAAAGCTAATGTAAATTATTATTAGTTCATGGACCTTAATTTCTCGAGCAAAAAATAAAATTCAAACCAAGAATAATATAAATTGGTTGTGTGTAATTGAAATATTGTTCAGCCATAAGATAAAGAAAAAAAGAAATCAGACATTTTATTATGAAAATTATATAAAAATACTGTAAACTAGCATTCAAGCTTCAGTACTTAGGACAAATTACATTAGAAGTAACTTTGAAACACTGTTGCTAGCTATAGTCATAAAAAATATTAAGTTTTTAACCACTTTTATGTATTGCTTTAAAGTTTTATTTACGCTAGTAAAAATATAATAGATTATTAACTATCAATTAACTAAGTCCATATCACCTAAAATTTTAACATATGATCTAAGTTTTATGTCAGTCATACTACCTTGTCTGGTTCAGAATTCATACATTTTCAAATACTGAATATATTTATAGAACGTAATAAACTGAATAAGACAACATAGAACTTTATTTTCAGTGATGCGAAACGAGTTTTCTGCTGATTGGGTTATTTCACTGAATCGGATAAAGGACTAATTCATTTTACCTCTACTACAGTGCGGCTTCGCTATTTTGTAGTTTGTTCATCAAATTGTATTGTTCTAATAAACCTCATAACTACGGTCGGTATATTCGAAAAGCCGTGTGATTAATTTGTAATGGAGAAATGTATTATACTTAGAAATTACACACAACAGAGAAGATTGTCTTATTAACCATTTCAATAGTTACTAGAGCTGAATTTAATTTTAAAATACGTTTTTAAATACAATTCAATTTATTTCCACTTATAGTATAATTGTTTACCAGATTATAAATATGCAAATAAGTAATATAATTATATCTTTAAAGAAGATGTAAAAACGGAAATAGATTTCAAGTGGTATAACTTTCAAGCTTAATTGTAGTTTATTTATATTTTAGCTTACAGGCAAAGATATTTCAAATTTTCTCACTTTATACATAGCTTGTATATATTTTTCCGTATGTTAAGGCATTAATTTTTAAAGGTAAATATTTTAATAAGAATATTTAATTTTGAATCTAAAATATAACCATTGCTAAATTTGTAAGGTGATGAGTTCCAATTATTTGTATCAATTAATAAACAATATTGAAGCAGACTAGTCTACTATCCTAGTCTCCCGTCAACTTCTGTGGAGGTAAAAAACATAAAACGTGGTGTAATGTACAGTATGAGTACATATTCAATTTGGTAACCTTTTATTTGTATTCCAGGTCAATTCGGAGGATTCGTAGAACTCCAGATTGTCAAGGTAAGTTTGTATATTAATGTATCTACATACGAGTTTGTCTTTTATATTTAATTTAACATTTTTCATCAATAGTTTTGTAAAAATATGTGAAGCTTGTTCAGTTGTTTATGAATATTTTAAATAAAACAATTGTGTACTATGTCCAGCTTTAACTGCATTTTGAAACGATGGTCACCCACCGAGCTCATTGATGACCCTATGGTAATCCTGTTGTCATTCTGCAGGCTTGGTCGAAATTATTATAAAACAATTAGCAGTTCATTTCAATGAATTTCTTTCTCCCTTCTGCGTTCACTTGCTTTTTAAGGGATTATAACTTACAAGGTTTAATTATAATACAATTACTATCATATGAACTTTGTTTCTCCAAAAGCATAAGTAAAACTGACTAACTAAAAGAACTATTCTTACTAAAGGAAATATTCCTTTTACAATCACGCCTTTTTAGAAAATTGCTTATGCAGATTTTCCGTTCGTTTTAGGTAAAAGTTTGATAATTAATATAATCACCTTAACTACTACGTTACTATATTAAGCTAATTTGATTTCTATTTAAATAGTAACACACCAATTTTGTATTTTTCATCGATTGTACTTCTATTTTTTTGTTGTTTTTTTTTTATTTATTTAACAACTAAAGGAACAAATCTCAGAGAGGCATTGAAAGGTTCAAAGCTTCAAACGAAGTTACGTGATTATTTCATAAATGATTAAGTTAATCCAACATCAACTGATTTGCATCCGATCTTATTAACGATTTAAGTTCAAACGAAGATGTATTGTTCAACTTTGCTTTATGGATTAACCTTTTCAATCCTAAAATCTAAGTTTGTAGTGCTAAAATTACTATACACGAGTTGAAAATATTTAAACAATATTCTATTTATTTATATGCACACAAAAATTGTAAATGACATAATGCAATAAAATAATTTACCTCTAAAAAGAAATCTAACCATTTTATGTGCTCTATGATGCCTGTTATAAAAAGAATGCCCCTCAACCTATAAATAAACTGAGATCAGAATTGAGATACATTTTAATGATAATAAGACAAATATATTCATGGATGTTTTGTATTACTAAATGAATTGGAGGATATAATACGGAATAACTGTTCATTGAAATTCTCTACTCTAGTCATAACTGTATTTTGCTCTTACGTATTAAAGATGATAATACCTTTTAAGCGTGTCAAACAACCTTTAAAAAATTGAAATGAAAAATTATCCATCCTTTATCAAAAATTAGTTTATTCATAATCACCAATAGGTTTAAAAAAATAACTTACGATAAATGAACCTCGAACATCCTAGTGGTTTGAAACTAATTGACTGTAAGTATTACAAATATAAACTTAATTTTTCTTCGTATGTTTTATAATCGGTTTTATTTAAGGTCATATTAAAAAAAAATTAAGATGGTAAGAACGAATGTTTTATAAAGCATTCAAAAGAGAATACATACAAAAAATAACCAAGTTAAAAGGGCCATCTACCCAAAAATTAAAATAAGCCTAATTTATTTGTATTATAATACTTGTATGACTAAAAGTTTAGTGCGACTAAAGAAAAAAATTGATGAAATTAAAATGCTTTGTACGTCTGATAATTCATAGGTGATTTATAAAGTCCGTTATGAAGAATATAAAGGGATTCTTAAACATAAACTGGTAAAACCATAGTATTAATTTGTATAGAAATTTAGGACTAATTTTTTTATGTGAGTGCAATACGGGAAATAAAAAAAAAGTAAGTGATAACTTATGGGATATCTACTAAAAAAAAAAAAAAACACAACGCAATACGAGTGAAATGAAAGAGAAGCACACACGGTACCTACTTTTGTGAATGTGTTATTTTAAAACGTCCTGTTGCCCTTTCCATTGTGACTTTTGAAGTTGATCTTTTGTCTTCGTGTTTTTATACACTAACTCGCTGGTGGTGTTTCTAAGCACAAAAGGTTCTTTCATTCTATAGCGGGAAGCGGCCAGACTGAAATAACATATAAAATGTGTCTAACGGCTTTTTGGTTTGGACCAGTTTTTCAATCCTTTTAATGCAAAAATTGAGAGGTGTTTAGAATTCAGTTTCTTTTGGAAATTTATTTTTTAAGGAAGTATTACTTTCTAAATTATGAAAATTAATTATTGAATTGTAAACTAGCTATTATATATAATATTTAAACCAGATTATTATGTGTTTATTTTATTAAAAACTTCTGCCTATTACTAAGAAAATATTTAAATATTGGAATTTATCAGATTCTAATAATAAATAAATAAATGTTCTAATATTACTGTCTACCAATAAATGACGTAATGTTATTAAGACTAAATAAATGATCTAAACTGACATTGTAAAATGATTATACACCTTCGGTGAAGATTAATAAATGAATCTGAAATGGAAGACCAAGCAATTGCATTTTTGAATATAAATTCTGTAAATTATTTTTGTGTGATATAATTCATGAATCTGACATTGTTTGCAAGATTTAAAGCGAATTAAAGGAAAGTAGTTATTACCGTAGGTGCCGTGGCAAGGCCTAGATCCGAGAACATGTTACCCTTCACAAAAATTGCCAATTTTAATCAAAACCATGGTGTAGAACTTAAAATATTGTCAAATGTAGCGTTCTTGTTCGATTAAAAGTTAAAGAGAACATTCCTAAAAACGTTACATTACAAATACTATGTTATTCTTATAACGATAAAGCAAGCCGTTGTAGTTAGTAATTAGTAGTAATTCGGTAAATGTTATACTTTAATTTGAACCTGCAGCAGCAAACCTAAGTATCGTTAAACCGTATTTTATTTATATGGGGAATAAGTCTGATATATTTAAGGAAATGTTTAGTAAAATTTCAATCAGTCAAATACAAATTGGCTTAGTGAAGCAGTGAGAAGGTTTGCTATGTCAGGGGTATTTATTTGTCTTAAAACCTTGTTGTATAGAATAAGCTTAGTATTCTATAGACAAGTTTAAAATCAATCAAGTTAAATTCAAACTTTTAGCCACTTCTTAAACTTTCCTGTGATAAACTCATTTTTGCCGATAAAGTTTTAATGACTTACCCAGATGTTCATTGGATGGATTTTATCTTAAAAAATCGTTGATAAAAACATTATTTATTAAGGTTTCAATAATTTGTATGACATTTTTAAACATTCTTTGTTTTATTAAAATGTTCTTTTTGAAAATGAACATATTGTTAGGTAGGTAATATAAGGTAGCATACAACCATGCTAAGGCAAATATATCTAATCATCCGGTAAGATGTTTTTTACACATGCAATGAGGTTAAAGCAATCATTAAAAACATTCTTTTTAACTAATTCCAGCCAAATGATGGACAATTTCAGTATTTTTGCGTTTGTCGGGTTAATGTGGACATGATGCTATTTACATCTGGTATGAACCAGAAAAGTAAGCCGCAATATTTACGTTCATTTTACATTTTAATATAAAAAACCTTTTTAGCATTATTATCAGTTTTATTTTATTGATTGTTAGTGTTAATTTTATTGGAAGGCAAAAATGAATAACCGGAATTAATAATTTATGACCATGACCTTTATCAGACAACTTTTACATTAAGTAATAACACAAGTAATATAACTAATAGATACAAATATATAGTATAGTAGTGTATAGTATAACTCGATTGGGTTTTACTAATAAAAGTTCTTAAAAAAATAAACTACATAGAGATAGCGCAGTATCCAGCAATAGAGTCATCGTACAAACCTATTGGTTTTAGAGATTAATCATAATTTGTAGCAGGATCCTACCACCAAAGCCTACCTTTCATAAACCATTTTAAGTATCTATCGGAAATATATTAAAAACTATGCCTACTTTTGTTTTATATATCCATAAAGTTCTATATTTATACACACATGTTTGTATCCAACTTAAGAATACTGTCCAATAAATAAACATTATTCTGTAACATATTGTCCCATTATTTACACTAGCCTAAAAAATGTTTAAATAGTCCGCCAAAATTGTGTTAGTATAAATTAACCCCATTGGAATATTAATTACAAAATAACCTAGCCTATATTAAACTAAATAAATATTACTTTAAATGATTGAATAGCTCTATCTATAGTTTAGAAATGGTTAAACGGAATATGACTATTTTCCTAAGACATGTTAAAGCTATCTCGCCGTAAGATGTTTTATTTTATCAATCACGTTTCATATGTTAGTTTTTTAATGAAAATTATGGTAAATTACGGTTTAATCATAAATCCCATGTACGTGCGAGATTGAAAAAGTTATGGAAACCTTAGAAAAACAGCACTTTACATCTTTTGAAAAGAACAAACCATTACAATTAATGCCATTTCATCAAATTGATTAATTTCAGAAACTTAAAACAATTTGAAATCTTATTTAAAAACTAAGATATGAAATGTTTATGTTATGAAATATTCATCATTTGAAACAAAGCAGTTCTATTTCAACAATGTACTGGAGTTGAGAGTTGAAATAGTTTCATTTGTGACCAGTAGATGTGTTTCTACACTGAACCAATCTACAAATTTCCTCTGATGTAGCTCTATTGAGCGAGATTCAACATTTTTCAAAACACTATAAAAATTATTTAATCGTCCTTTAAAACAAATGTGGTTATTTGTAATGAAACTAAAAGCTACCCAGAGAAGAATTGCATCCGCTAATATAAGCTCCAAGTGTTCTCTGATACCAAATATGAGCTTATAAAGTTTATAACTTTATTTACCAATTCAACCCACACAAGGGCAATATTTGTATTGTGTTCACATAAAAAATAAAAAATAAACTTATCCCTGATGTACATATTTTTGTGCTGCGGTTTGCTTGCGCCAGTAGACTATTCTGAACCTACGTAACAACCCCATTATCGTAATGATGGCTATTGAGTCCAATCTAAGTTTTCTTATTCCAGCTCCCTTTAGAATATTAAATTAGGTCATTTTGAGGAAATAACCGCAATGGGGGAGATCTTAA